AGGCGGCAGCAAAAGGGTGGGGGGGGGGGGCGGGGAGGGGGCCCTACAGGAGCCTGTACATACAGTGAGCCAGATTAAAAGCCATCTCCCTATATATACACAACTCCTGCCTGCCCCTGCCTCCGATACAGTGGCAGGAGTGGGGGGGGAGCAGGTGGCTCCCCAGGAGACAGTGTTCACAGGAAGCCTTCTTAAAAGCTGGTTCCTCGCAATGACCGGCCTTGTCAAAAGCAGATGTTTGCTTCAAATAAAATGTTACTGGTCTGCAAAAAGCCCCCACCTCCAGAGTCTCCTAGTGCCAGCCCTAACCCTTACAGTCCCCCACCACTCCACTACCCTCCAGCGCTAGTGACTGACCCCAGAATTTCCTGCACTGAACCCCCCCAGTGCCAGCTTCCTGCCCTCAGGGTCCCCCCCCCCGCCACTGCCAGCCCTCAGAGTAGTGGTTCCCAAATCAGTCTGCAGACTAGTGGTAGGCTGTGGCAATCTGCCAGGCCATGCTCCCAGCTGCTAATGAGCCTCGCCCACTGGGGAGCTCCATTCCCTATAAGGTGCACACCTGCGCATGCACTTAAAACTCTCCTCCCACAGTGAGGCTCTCCCTGCTGGGGCAGCCTTACCTTCCATTGCAGGCAACATGTTCGGAACCAGGAAGCGTAGCCTCTGCAGCCAGGAGGGTCCTGAGAAAGATCAGGTTAGAGGCCCAGGAGAGCTACGCTGTGTGTCTGATTTCTGTCCTTACTCCAGTAGGGCCTGGCTTCCTCCATAGGGTCTCCCCTGTCGGCTCCAGCCTGCTCCACGTCTGGCTGCTTTCCAACATCCCAGGGTGCCAGAGCCGGCAGCACCGGTTGGAGCTGTCAGGGAGCCCAGCACCCCCTGCACTCAAACCTGAGGTGTCAAGGGGCTAGTACCACCTGGCTGTCATATGGATGCCATGAGCCTGAGATGCACACAGGCTGAGTGACCCTGTGCCTCTAAGTCCTGACTGGTAATGGCCTGGGGAGGAAATCTCGAGCCACCAGAAACATGCGCTCGCCCCGTCGCCTGTACCGCAGACACTGCCGATCCCATGCGTGTGTCAGGAGCTGGGCTATCACCAGGCCTAACAGGGCAGGGGCCTCTTCCCAAACACAGAAGAGCAAGTTGCTGCGCAGTGGGAGGGGTGCACGAGGCCAGCACAGCAGCCTTAGAGCAACTGCGACCCAGGCAGCAGTGCTCAGGTGGCATCTGGGAGGCAGCGCAGGGCTAGGGTGGGGGAGGAGGGGGTAAGAGGGGCTTGTGCTGGGGGGCTCTAAGAGACGGGGGCTGGCACTGAGGGGGGACATTATGGGGGGGTGCACTGGGTGTCTGGAAAGAGGAGGCTAGCACTAGGAGGAGCAGGGGCTCTAAGGCAGTGGTTCCCAACCTTTTTTATATTGGGGACCAACAAACCCATTCACAAACTTTTGGTGGACTGGTAACAGTTTATTTGCACATTCATTATATGTGCCTGCTCTGCCACCTTCATCTAGCCCTGAGCTGCCTCCCAGCCGCCAGCTGAGCTCTGCTGCCCGGGTCATGGCTGCTCTAAGGCTGCAGTGCCAGGCTCCGCGTGGCCCTCCCACCGTGCAGCAAAGCACTCTTCCACGTCCGGGAAGAATCTCTCTCCTGCCCAATGCTGGTTAGCTCAGAGGTGGGGCAGGACACACCTCTCCCAACAGTCATGGTGAGAGCAATGTACCCAGCCCCAGTTCCCAGAGCTGCCGTGGCCCGGCAGCCAGAGGTCCGCAGCCCAGCAGCAGGCCACAGACCAGTGGTTCGGAACTGCTGCCTTATGTCATTATCCAAATATTTGCGGCCCTTACTAGAGCCCTGCTCAGGACTCTTCTTTTTAATCCTGCTCCCATCCCATAAGACCCACTGATTATTATCTTTCTGGGTACCAAAATTAAGCTAACCGGTTTATAAATTTCCTGATTATCCTTATTAGCCTTTTTACAGATGAGCAAAATACAATACTTTTTTCCAGTAGTCCTGGAAATCTCCAATCTTCCATGATTTCCCAAAGAAAATTGCTAATGGCTCAGAGCTAGTCAGCCAGGTTCTTAAGTATTCCAGGATAGTGGTTTACAATGGGAGGTCAGCAAACTATGTCAAAGGAGATCTGAAAAAGCGATCATAACCATAGAAAAGTGCTTTTCAAGATATGGTCCACAGATATTGTCTAAAAATACCAAAGAAGTCTGTACCTCCAATTCAAATTTTTTAGGATCTCCAAATGAAAAAAAAAAAAAACTTGAAAACTGCAGATTTAGGATACATTTTGTCAGGTCCTGATGACTTGAAGACATCTAACTTGTCAAAGTAAATTTTAACTTGTTCTTTCC